TTTCTGCAAGAAATTCCAATTTCCTGAGAAAATTTCACATGTACTTACAGGAAGCGCACTGTTTGGAGACTTTTGAATGATTAATATGAAAATATTGGTTGGCCAGCCTGGTAAGGAGGGCTTTAAACTAGGAAAGATGGAGGAAGGGGAGTGTTATACAGACAGGGTAGTCAGTAAAACGCCGCTCAAGTCCGGATGTCTCCAATGGGTGCATGCAGCAGGGGAGACAGCAGGGGACATGGCTATGGCGGGTCCTCTTGCACTTCTTCTGAGAAGCCTGCATACTCAATTGCCTCTCCGAAATGCCTGTACACCAATGCACACAACATGGAGAATAAGCAGGAAGAGTTAGAGATCTGTGTGCGGTCGCAGGGCCATGATCTCATTGCAGTTACAGAGACATGGTGGGATAGTTCACATGACTGGGATGTTGTCATGGATGGCTACGTGCTTTTTAGGAAAGACAGGCCAGGAAGGCGAGGTGGTGGAGTTGCTCTTTATGTGAGGGAGTAACTAGAATGTATGGAGCTCTGCCTAGGGGTAGATGAAGAGCAGGTTGAGAGCCTATGGGTAAGGATTAAAGGGCAGGCTAACATGGGTGACACGGTGGTGGGGGTTTACTACAGGCCACCTGATCAGGAGGAAGTCATCAATGAGGCCTTCTACAGACAGCTGGAAGTAGCCTCACGATCACAGGCCCTGGTTCTCCTGGGAGACTTCAACCACCCTGACATCTGCTGAGAAGACAGCACAGCTAGGCACAAACAGTCAAAGAGGTTCCTGCAGAGCATTGATGATAACTTCTTGACCCAGGTGGTGGAGACACCAACAAGGAAAGGTGAGCTGCTAGACCTTGTACTAACAAACAAAGAAGGTCTGGTGGGAGATGTGAAGGTTGGAGGCAGCCTTGGCTGCAGGGACCATGAGATGGTGGAGTTCAGGCTCCTACAAGGAGGGAGCAGGGCACTAAGTAAGATCGCAACGCTGGACTTGAGGAGAGCTAACTTTGGCCTCTTCAGGGACCTACTTAGGGGAATCTCCTGGGGTAGGGCCCTAGAAGGAAGAGGGGTCCAGGAGAGCTGGTTAACATCCAAGCATCACTTCCTCCAGGCTCAAGATCGGTGCATCTCTCTGACTAAGAAGTCCAGCAAAGCGGGCAGGAGACCTGCCTGGATGAGCAAGGAACTCCTGGCCAAACTCCAACAGAAGAAGGAAGT